ATATAATTTACATACAACATCTGGAGTATCAGTACAATGTTCTCGTTGAACCATAAGAAGACGTCCAGATACGTTCAACAAAATGCTTTCAGGATGTGGATGACTTCCAGCAGTTTCTGCACGTATAGTGGTTAAAGTGGCACTTACAACACAAGCAGGATGAACACAAAGTCCACTGATATCTACAGTTTGCAATCTGGTTAATTCTATACTTCCTGCATCTAAAACAATAACATTTTAATTTAATGTTTTCAATGTAACGTTTCAGTGATTATTTTTCTTACTTACCATTATTGCTTTCTATTACCATATCATAAATGCTAATTTGTGCATTGGCACAAAATGTTAAGAGCTTGTCTTTTAATGTATTGAGCAGTAATACCTGTGATGGCATTCTAACAGTTCTAACATAATTATTATCCAAACGTGTATCACGTGGATATATTCTAACTTCGTCTTTATCATCTAATAATGAATAACTACTGGCTATCAGAAAACCTCGATGCCATAATAGTCCTCCAGTTACAATAAAGTCCCGCTCTTGAGTTTCATTACCGAAAAGTTTCCATTTACGTGAAGGTAAAGAATAATGTGCTAACCCTGTGCGTCCAGCTACAGCTATACTCATACCTTCGTTATCAATAGCGGTATACTAAAAAAAAAATAATATCCATATAGCATAAAATCATAATATAAAAATTTCGATAAGCTATATATGTATAAAGTATAAAATTACATACTCTTATCGGCCAATTGGCACCACTGTATGCAGTAGGAATAGGAACAACTAGCCATTGCTTACAACCCGCAAGTGTCTGCGTTATGGAATCATTAGGAATTTCACTACCAATGTGAAAAGTTGAAGCATTTGTAGAAACTCCACCACCCAGATTTAAATACAATCTATCTTCACCTTGTAAATATAAATGTCCATGATGACCCTGAATAAAAAGTTATCATTATTAATAAATGTACAGTACAAGATAATAATTATAAAAATATTTGTTTCAGTACAAAATAATAATTATAAAAATATTTGTTTTAAATATATACCATACAAGGATTAATAGTTAGAGGACTTTTTACAAAATCTAATTGTATCAAAGATTTTAAATTAGTTTCTTCATTTCCATTTTCTTCAATCAAAGAAGGAGTTGGAGATTCTCTTAACATCCAAAGCTGATAACCTTCGGCAGACCATTCCTATTATATACATAAAAAAGACAAATTAAATAAAATATTTAAATTATCATTAATTAATATTAATAATTAATTCACTGACCATTGTGTGGATATGTAAAGGATTATCGTGCGTCAAATCTACTCTTAAACCATAATCCCACTTTAAACTACAAAGTAAAAGAGCTCCAAATGTACTCCATATTGCTAGGCCACCACCTTCCCATGCTAGTGCGATAGCACAACTATCAGGAGTCCACCTTAAACATCTCACACGACCTGGTCTTCCTGGGTAATCTTTCGAGGATAAACTTAATGTATGCGACATTTCTAAACTTCCTGTGGTTTCATCAACATAATACACTACACCTTCAGAACTAATAACAAAACATACATTTATAAATCATATAAATTCATGTTTTAATATAGATTATTAAAAAACATACTTTTGTTTTCCAATTGCAATAAGACGATATTTATGATTTACAGCTGCGCAAGTAGCATCATCAACATCCCTAGCCCAAATTCCTTGTACTTGCTAAAAAGTAATACTATTGTAAATTATTTGTTTACATATTTTGATAATAATTGACATACATTAGGATCAAATTTTAAAGACTGTGCTGTAAGAAATGCTGCTTTGCCAGTGTTGAGTACAATTGCAAATCCACCAACTAAAGGAGAATATTCAATATCGGTAACAAACACATTGTTCTCAGTAAGTGGTATAGCTACAGTAGATATCTGTTGATCTACGCTAAATGGTATTCTTCTTAGATCAAGAGAATAATCTCTATTTACTGTACCATCCCACTTATGACGTATTACATGACTGGTTTTTGTAGCTACCATAAGTTCATCACGTATACAAACTAAAGAACTAATTCCACCATCTATCCAAGCTGATTTTTCCTAAGTGAAAAAAGTTTTATTCGTAAATTATACAATCTATAAATGAAAAATATATTTATTTATTTACATACAAATGTTAAAACTAAGGAAGGGATAATTTCTTTGATAAAAAGTTCAGCACTATCTCTTTTCAAGCTGGAAACTGGAGAATCTCTCTGTTCATAGAGACTTCTACCCTCTGGACTGGTATCTTGTAAGCGATAAAATAAAAGATAACTGTCTGATGTCTAAAAACAAATTGACAATAAAAAACATGGTATTATAACATTTAACTTTTAAAACATTTTTCATACCGCAATAACCACCATACTAGAGTCTGGCCTCCATTGTATCAAAATGTTGTCACCATGTTTCTTTAAAGAATCTGTAGTTCGTCTGATAAATACAATGGGCACACATGGCTATAAAGAAAATTAATATTTTAGAATAAATCATACTATCACATATATATTTTTTGCAATACTATTTGACAAGAAAGTGCGAACAACATAGTGAACATATATACCGCAATATAAATAAAATAAAATTGCCAAGTAGAAATATTCATTTATTACAGATACAATTAATAAAATTTATTACAACATAATTACAAATAGAATTTATAAATAATGGGTTTTTTAAAATGTTTATAGTAAGATCCTAACATTGAATTTATACATGCCTTGCAATACCAGATGGTAAGAGTATCCGTCGTTAAGACAGCAAAAAGTATTTTATCCCTGTTGCAAACAACCGCAGTTATATTTTCTGGTTCTGTCGTGTTCAGAACCCGCGGCCATCCGATAGGAAAAAACATGATTCTGCCTTAGGATTGTTCACTTTTTACGTTCACATTCCTGTTATGTTTAAATTGTCCTTTGGTTTCATTCTTTGCCTCAAAGAATTTGACAAGTAAACACGTCCTAACCTCACCATCTTACACGAAGGATAAATACTAGGTTCCTCATGTAACGAAACGGAGTGAAGTTTTTCGATATCCACGTAGCCTAAAGCCTGGCTTAAACTATGGAAACTCATATAATGTTCGTATTATGTATTTAACTCACAATCATTTACAATGTCGTGCAATCTTTATTTTAGGCACGCATTAGAACGCACAACTATTTCTTGAGTGATTTGTATACAAAAATTAACGTAAATACATATAAACAAAAAAATACATAACGCAACTTTTGGATGTGCATGCGTATGTAATTTTATCGCATATGTTTTGGTAGTAAGTAGTTAATTAAATTAATCTTTTACATGCGAATATAAATATATATTTGAATGAAATAAAAGTATTAATTATTTCGTTATTGAATTATATGTGTGTGTGTGTGTGTGTTATATTTATACATGTATATATATTTATATATGATACTTACCAAAAATTTAATTCTAAAAATTAATATTTAAATTAATATTTAGAAAAACAATATTTTCCGATCTTTTTCTGATGTATAAAAAATTAATTTTACAATTAAAAACAGGTAAAATAATTGTAGATTTATTTATAGATTCAATTTGAATACGATATAGAATGATCAAAATCTGATACAAAATTGGCACAATTAGAAAATTACTGTACCAATATATTTTTACATATTTTTAAAATATTTATACAATTAACATTTATCATGAATATTCTTATAGTACCCTCAAATGACTAACTACATTGCTGGTTGAATATCATGAACGGTATACTATAGAGCTATATTCTATTTACACACGATTTCGAAGTCTGTACATTATTCGTCAATATCACAGAACCTCATCATCGAACATTTTTATGTAAGGCTTCATATGACTTTCACGTATACTTATCACAATTACATTATTATTATAATACTATTATTTACATATTTTTCAGAGGCAAATCTCTTATTGTTAAATAATATGTAATTAATCTAGGTAAATTAAGCCACATGAATTTCTTTAAGCACACTCATTTTCGACGATTACAGGCAGCCTTTACAAGGAGTTAAAATCGTCTCATGATATAAACCAAAGAGGACATTAAATCTTTCATAGGTGTATAAAATACAGGTCGCTTTAAACTCCGTTGCGATACATGAAAAACAATGCGCATATGAAGAATCTGTAATTCACCTATAAATTCAAATAACGTCATCCAGTTGTTATGTACAACTAACATACATACATTAAACTATGGTAGATACACTTGTATATTAACTGACGTATTTGTACATCATCAATTACTTAACTTTCAGCAAACTCATTAAACTTATTAAACTTCAGAGATCTTTTGTATAAAAGTTTTTAAAAATGTGTGTGTGTGTGTGTGTCTTCTCTTTTTTTGGAACAATAAAATTGGTCATTCGATAAATAGAACAAGAAACAACGAATTAATGAAACTGATATCTAACAAGTGGGTTCCATAGATGGTGACATGATGTTCATTTTGGGTGGTCTACCAAATCCACGCGTTCCATCCGGTCCAGACGGCATTCTCGTCACATTCTCCGGCAGATGGGTCAACGCGACACCACTGTTGCTTCTGGATCGACAGTAGCTACCTTGCTCAGAACCGGAAGAACAGAGAGACAACCTTCTGGAACCTGCATCAAAGGCAGAGTCTCGGCTGCAGGCGGACAACCTTCTCAAGAACGGCCCGTAATCCGCAGAACCGCGGCGACTAGAATGATAACAAACACCGTTGCACTCGGAGCCGGAACTTGAACAGCAAGAAAAACGTCGATTCTCTTGATAATAGTAACTCGGCGGGAAAACCGGATGACAGTAACCGGTCTCGGACCCAGAAGAACAAGCAGAGTAACGTCTGCCGAAGCTTCCAGCCTCGGAATTGGAGCCTGAACCGGAACAGGAAGACAAGCGACGTAGAATAAAACCGTTCTCTGAGCCTGAGACGGAACAAGAGGACAACCGACGAGACAGCCATGCATCTGGCGACGGAGGTCCTGCAACAATGATGTCACACAGTGAATCTTAAAATACACAAGGAAGAGAATCATTTTCTTATCCCTTCTAATTATATTTTCTTTATCAAGGTAGTAGAATTGAGCAGTTAATCTTTTTATATGCAAGAAGTTTGTACAACTCAAATCTCAAAAGTCTCAAAGTCGAAATTTTCAAGTATTTACAAATTTCATTGTAAATGTATTTCGCTAATGTTGCAGATAGTCGATACAAGAATTTGATGACACGTTGTTCTAAAATGCAATAACTGCTCAAGAATCAGAAACTGATGCAATTACAGTGAAATATATGTATATAGAATAAATGTATAGTATATACTAAAGTAAAATTGACAAGAAATAATATTACTGACACTCTATTAATTCCGGAAGAATTATGAAACTTGTTTCTTGTACCATAAGAAGAAGCTAAATATAATTTCTACTGTAAGAAATGTGGTAAATGATATAAGCAATGCAAACCTTGGTACGAGTGGCCCGGATAGGCGTGATACATTGGATAAGCACAAATAGGTTTTTTGTGTCTGGCTCTTCCATCCTCTGTCTCGGATCCGCTGGCGCAACTCGAGGAATTGTAAGCTTCCTCTTTGGTTAATCTTGTCAGGGCACTTTTCTTTGCTGGTTGTTGTTTCCTCTTCTTGTCGCTGGATTGTTGCAGCTCAAACACCTTGGCATCGCCCAAGGTTATTTGTAAGGCGGCCCGAGCGGACGCTGAATCCGTGAACTCGACCATGGCGCACTCCTCGCTCGATGCCAACTCTGGCCTTTTGGCGATTGCTTGTCGCACCTGAGAATTAACAGATTACTTCTGTTAATTACAACTACCAGAGATTATCATCTCAAAGAAGCAAATTTTGTAATTATAATTTTATGAATGTCTTCGGTTTTTCTTTTGTTTTTCAAATTAACGTGAAACGATATTTAGAAAAAGATAAAAGATAAAAAAAGGGGGGGGGGATGTTACCTCAGCCGGTGCTGGATGTCCAGGTCGAAGTATTCTAATGAGAGCGATCTCTCCACATGGTCTGAAGATCTCAGCTACTGATTCGACCGATAATTTCTCTACCGGAAGTCTCGCGGCTAGTATCGTCCTTGATGGGGTGGTTTGATCAAAAGGCGGCAAAGGATCCACTCTGCGTAATTTCGTGCCCTGTGGATTTACTTGGAGTTTCTTCGATTTTGCCAAAGCGGCTCCGACAACCCTCCAGTCTCTACTCAAGTGTTTCACTCTTTTGAAACTCGAAATGAGCTTCAACGACACGTACCCTTCCTTGTTTCTTTTTACGTGTTTCAGCAGGAAAGCATCTTTCACGATGTTTACGTCGGAGAAGTAAAATTCCACTTGGGCGCATATTTTCTCGGCCAACTCGTCGCTTGGCGGAACAAAATCATCTTGGATGGCTGTACTTACTTCGATCGATGGTTCTTGCTTCTGATCCTTCGGATCCCTTACGACGTTTTCTTCCAATGAATCCGCGCCCGAGTCTGGATCGCAGTTCTTCGCAGACTGCTCCGTTACGTCGTTCGTTTTTCTCTCGTTGTCGGAACTTCCACTGTCCGACAGGTCAGCCTCTTCTCCTTTGGAGCCTCTCCGATCGAACGACAGGCTCACGTCGCTATCTACGGAGGAGATACTCTCCCTCGTGTCGGATTTTTTCATCGGTGGTGGAGAAAAGATCAAGTTGCCCACTTGGTCCCTCGACTCTTGCTGAACATCCGCCTCTTCCATGTTTGCTGTGCTTGCTATCTTTTCGAATTCGAATAATATCCCTGGATATCCAGTCAGTCCAGTCGATTATATATGTATACGTATGTTCGTCGAGTTAATCCATCAGAGAAACTGAATTACCACCTGTCTTTCAGGGAATATCTTCAGCCTGTACTTCGACAATCAATCTCACCAACACTCAAACCAATATCACGCGGACGTGTTTCATGTTAGAGATGAAAATTCAACAAACTGAGTAAGTGTACTCTTATACTTGGCGACACTTGATGAAACGAAGACGACCCTCGACGATTGATGAAACGAAATGAAACTCTGAAGAATCAGATGTATTCACAATCAATTTGATTCTGAAGAAGGTATGCTCATGACTCGAAACTTGGTTGGTGTTCGCCTCGAGGGAAAATTTATTTGGCCGGTGGCGGTGATCTCTTCCTTCCTGTCACGTTTGCCGATGCCAAATTGAACCCGCTGAGACAGACCAGCGGGTCTATTAAACGAACCGATGGCACACTGCGACGATTCTTGGAGAGGGAATGCGTGGAGGACAAACAGTTCTAAAAGAGGAGGGGGACCTGTGGTAGTGTTAAAGGGACGGCTGCAAAAAGAAGGAGAGAACAGACTAAAAGAGCCGATTTTCGCGCTCTTGTTGGGAACGCGTGCTCATTCGCTGGAAGGGAAGGAAAGTGGGGGACTTGCGCGGTTCGTGACAGTTCAGGGAAGAGTGGCCTTCCCGAAGGCGCGTCCACCTCTTTAAATACTTTCGCCCGCGGGTCGCGCATGCGTGAATACTTGTATCGCGACGAACCTACCCTGAGGTCGTGACCTTCCTAAATACCGGTCAAGAATGAGGCTCCGGGAAGATAGAAATCATTTGCCAGAACCTTGGAAAAATAAAGATATAGGACACCTGAGGGGTTGATCAGCGAGATTTCGTTTGTTCATTTTAATCGTATTATTTCGCTAACGCCAGCATCTGTGTCTTCTTCTTGTTCTTAAAAATCGTAGCTTTTCACATAAGATTGCAATGTCAACCTAGTGCGTTATACGTAATATAACATATGTAAGAATTACATTTACCATAATTACATTTGCTAAGATAAATGTAACACTAATACTATTACATTTAATGATGCAAGACTGTGGAACAGCCAAGTATGCCAAATTAACAATATTAATGTTAATTACTCACCATGGTTTGCTCCAATAATCTCACACGTGGAAACGAATATCGAGTAAAAAGGATTTTCATACGAAATGTTGTGTCCAGTCGATTGCATTTGGGAGGAAACCGTAGGATTAGAAGAGCGACGCGAGCTCCTCGACTACTTGGACCTTGTCTGCGTTCGTCGCGGAAGCCAGGATGTCGAGACGACAGGCTACAGGAAGGAAGGATTTCTTTATGGTGAACCTCGGTAACCTCGGATAGACCCGGCGGGCTTATTCGCAAACGCTACGCATTGCATCCGGACGCTGCCAGCATAATAAGATATAGGTCAAGTGCGGCTGGTACCATGTATGGCCATACCTGTGGCGAGGAAGGACAAAGATATACGCAGGTTATCGTTGTCGAATTGAAAGGGTTCATTCTGCATCTTCGTCTTACCACCTCTTCGTCTATTTCGCATAAAACTTAATCCTATCTGAGATTAATTCCTGCGCACCGGCGAGTTCGACTGAAATACTACTTTTTATGCAAAATCTTTTAAATATCGCAAAGTGTATTTCATTTTTTACACATGTCTTTGCATTTGTATTCATTTATTTACGCTTGTCACGATGATCAAGATTAAAATGAATAATATTAAAAAACGTATTTATCCCATTAATGATGGCAGTGATCAGATTGATATCGGTGAGTCACCAGAATCTAATTAATGGTTCTTCAAAACAGTCATGAATAATCATAGGTATATCTTTTTCTTATATGTGTTTTCGTTCATAATTATATCATTTATTTCCATTACAATTGGACACTATGATAAATTTCTACAAAATTATATGATTATGACATAGTATAAAATTAATATTGTACTTTTTTCTATCAAAATCTTTGAATTTTTTTAAGTTCTAATGTAATGTGTCATTTCTTTTTTCAAGTAAAAGGAAAGATCAAGGATATCAATACTATCGCAGAAAAAGGAAATTGGATTAAGATTTACGTAAAAGTATTTAGAACTGCGCTGTATAACCCTCTTAGGTATGGCTTCATATATATATTGCGTAAGTTGTCGGTCCAAACCTTTCAGATTGTTCAAGCAGCGCTCTTTCTTTGAGATCGTTATTGATCAGCTCATGTATGATATCATCCGTTATCTTTTGTATAATCTCTCTCATAAAAAAAGTATAATAGTATTATACAACATATACTTTACCTATTATTGGTGATAATGTCTTGTTAGAAATTAAATTTCTAAAAAATATTCATCTTGTTTGTTATGATTGTTGTTACTTTCATGTAACATTTGGTAACTTATCAATTGTTTCTATAAGTTTTCCATAATTTTCTTCCAAAATTATGTGCAATTTTTCATCATAGTATTAATAAAATCCTGAGACTAATTTCGCCAAAATTAACAATTGTATAAAAACTATCGATTGTCCAGTCAGAGAATTGGAATTCTAGAATCAATCTCATCCAAATTCACGGTATGAACAGTTGTATTTAGTATCCAATACGTGCTTCAAGTATTCAATCCCTGAGGGGATATTTCAAAAGGCAACCTTTTCAAAAGACCACAGAGTGCCATAAGTAGAATGCAGACACCCGCCGGGAACAATATTTTTAACGACAATATATGCATATTATACGATGAAAATTGTGCAATGTTCTTATTTATCATCGGATCTAGAACAGTTCCTTTTTATTGTATAAATTCAATCGTCAATTTTATTGTTAATTTTCTTAACATTATTAAATACAATACGCATTATTAAAATGAAGTACAAAATACAGTAAGTTTTATAAAAGTGACGCTGAAACGCCTTTACAAATTGTTGGAAATGTATACAAAGATAATAACAAAACAGATATTGAAATTGATAATTACTTTCAGAAATGTTTACAGATGAAAGTAAAACGATGTTTCCTTGCTACTTCGATAGTACTTTCAATCACAATTGAAATGAAGATAGTCGCCCAGGAACAATCGTTGAACGTTCTATCGCCTAAGGGAATCAATGGTATGAATATCGGGAACGAATGGTACGAATAATAATAATGATAATAGCCATAAAGCGTTATGGCATATATTTTTTTATGAAATAACTTCACGTAACAACATCATTACTCGTTAGTTTAAAAATAAATTACTATCGAGAACGTACAAACGCGTTACATAAAATGTACGTTCGCACTCTCCAAAATGTAAATAAAAATCACAAGTGTAATAAATGTAAATAAAAATCACAAGTGTAAAAGAAAATTGATGGAATGCCGGATAGTTGTTATCCAATGTAATTGGCGATGTACAAAAGTTTCTGATCAGATAGATAAATTTGTATAATGCATTATTTCGATTGTCACGATAATGTCTATTTTATGATTGTCAACAAATGTTGCGTTGTAGATTAATTATCTGTAATTCAGTTGGTTCGAGAGAAACCAGGACACGAACATTTATAATTGCCGACCTACCAAGGTCGTTTAGAAGGATTATAGTTACAAACGATCTATTCTTTCTTGTACGTGTCCTTGTTGATCTCGATGCTTTTGAACAATTCATCCGATCTTGTTCACAAATTCAGTCTTAAAGTGAATAGTTTCACACTTGGTTGAAATGCATTATTCACTGTCTAAAAATGATTAATATTTATGTTATGTCAAACGATATAATGACTTCACTTCAATGCAATATATTTTATCATGTTATTCATAAAGTATAAAAAGCATCACAGTGTATGAGCAGTATTTATTATAATTAATCTAATAACAAGTAACAATGGAATTAAAACCATTTTATGAAATTTTGGAATAAATTGCTTCGTGAAATGTTATTGAAATGGTATCTATTATATATTCGTGTACAATGTAATTGAATAAATAAAATCCAATGAAAGACAAAAAGATGGAGGTGAAAACCAGATAAAGAAATTAATCCAAATTTCTATATAATTTGATGCCTTTTTCCGAAAATTCAACATTCTACTATTAATTTTATATAAAGTACTTGAATTATAGTCAATTTAGGGCTAAAATAAAATAATTGCATATTTAAGGGAGTAAATATTCAAGATAGTATTTAGAATTTGTTATGTTCTTAGAAACATTCCATTTTTATCGAGTGATTACTTAATACTAAATCTTACTTATCTTTCTTTTTTACCAATTTATCCACAAAAGATATATTTTGAAGGTCAAGTTAGGCAAAAATCGTAACCATTCGTATATCTACATTATTCTTAATTTCCAAACTATTTAACATAACTTATAAATTTCATATAAGTATATAAACGTCACTATAAGCTAGCCGTTCATTTCGTAACTTGAGATCTAAATTAAGATAAAAAGGAAAACGAATCTTAAACACAGTTTGTGTCATCAGTTTATTTTTGCATATTCTTAGAAAGAACTGGATCATCTACTTTTTGTTTAGAAAAAAGACATTTCCAACTTTAAGACTAAGTATTTCTTTTCAAAGGAAAAGAAAAAGACAGACGATTAATAATAATTATAGAATCTCAAGTACAATTATTCTCCATTATTTAGACACATTATTATTTCTTTCACAATGTTAATATCTCAAAAAATTTGTCCCGTATCAAATAAAGTACCAGGCGCAAATTGAACAATTTTTAAAAGTACATACTATCATTATACACCTGGCAGATTTATTCCATAAAAAGTTTTGAACGTTTAATCATCTATCTCAGCGTGTTACCTCAAATAAATCTGGATTACTTTAAAATTTGGAAAACCGCAGAAGGCGGCACAGCAGGATACACTACAGTTGTCCAACGTTCACGACGATTTCCCGAAGCAGAGGGCGGCGATTCCCTGAGGCGATCCTTGGTGTTCTTCGTCTTGTTCTGTCCGCACGTCGGAGACGGGAGCAGAACTCAAACTGGGTCAGGGCAGCGCGCCAAATGGTTGGATCAATTTTATTTTAAATTTATCAAGTCCGCTTCGACTCCACGGACACGCGTGATCAGTTCGGATTTCCAGACTGGTGCACGCCGATTAAAAATATTTTGTTTAATGTGGGAAATAACCAGCTGCCGAATCGTTTATGGATTGAATCGATTCTCAATTTCTTTCTCACGAAAATCTCGTCTACTTACCGCCTATGTTTCTCCACACTTTGAATTATACAGTTTTGTCCGAGAGTTCCAATTAACTTTACATTAATAAGTTCGTCCGCGTGATTTTGTACAACATAATTTTCTATTCTATATATCTTTTCAATTGCTAGTTTTATCCTCCGGCCCATCTTCCTTTTATTTTATTAATTTTTATTTTATTTATTATATTATTAGTTTATTAATTTAATAATCGTTTACATCCCTGAAGCTAAAGACAGAGGCAAACGGATGAATCCTAATAATAATGCGTGGTAATCGTGTGTTGCAAATTGAAATTGTGAGTTGAATCAGAGAGATATCAGTTCAATGTTACGTTATACCGATTTACGAAAGGAAGTCGCGTAATATGTATATCGCACCTGCGACTTAGAAACCTTCCGCTGTCCTTCTTCAATTGGAGGAGCATTGAAATTTCCCGATAAATCTTCAGTGTGATCATGTTCTTCAATGCAATGCAACTGAATTGTTTATTTTTTCTCTCATTGTTTAACTGTGATTACTCATGAACGGTGCAACATCATGAGCTCATCATATGTATTGTACATTTTTCACCGTATGTTGACACGTGTATTTCATATTTTTGCATGAAATTGTCACT